TGCTCTGGTGCTATAATAGCAATGAAATGTAGGGTTATGTGGACGTGTTTACCCGTCTGTTTATATTTTCAGATAACGCTAAAATTACTACAATTCTCCCTTATTACTGGTTTTTAACAAAAAAATTTTATCTTGTTCCTTACAATTCATGATTTAATCTCAAATTTCAATTTAATCTGCTTAGAGTTTTTAGTAGCCATTTTTACTTTTTCAAATTTGCCGAATTAAAATGCTGCATTCAGATTATGACGCCGAAGGCAATCGAAAAGCCAAAGATAAATAGTGTAAAACTCGATGTTTACATAGCTTCACAATGTCCCGATACTACTCGGTATGATCAATTATCGATTAGTTTGGCTGATCATTCTGAAGGTGCCACATTTTTAGATTTGTGCGCACACAGTTGATGAAAGCCTGGTCAATGTTATCTCATACGGGAAGGATAGAATTGACGATGGTTCCGTTTGGAAAAGCTCGTTGTATAGCTCGAGGTGACGATTTCGAGTAAGTTTGAAAGCACTTTCCAGTAAATCTTAACGTACAAGTGGTGTAATTGCACATCACATACCACATCCAATAGTGTAGAAGAGTGAAATACAAATGCACTTATCCATCTGACTACTCAGGGTTGCTTTTGCTGAAAATAAGATATGCGCTTATTTACCTCATGTGTACAGAAAGAGATACAAAATAATTTTAATTTTTTTATTCCTTGGATTAGTATTTTTTGGCCGAGCCTCACCATAATTTTAGGTGTTCATGTCAACACGGACCGAACGAGTGCATACTGAACCAACTCATGAACTGTGTTATTGACAGAGTAGGGTTCCCAGAGAAGACTGTACCAATTGTGAACTGCATCCAAGGAAAAGGATCTCTCGACGATGCTATGCGGTCGTGCATTGCAAATAATGCTCTGCTGAACGAGAATCAGTAAGTTTTCGGACTTCGCTGACGTTACAGTACTCCTTGTAACTCCCAGCGTGCTTTTGTAAAAGGAATTTGACAAAAGAAAAGAAACTTTGGTATTCTGAAGTGGGACTTTGCTCGAAAGTGTGAGCTCTCTTTCAATCGTAATTATTTTAATGGAACATTTTAGTGTGGGATCCAACAGCATCATCATAGGTAAAGTCATTTGAATTTCACGTAGCATTTACTGCACTAGGTACGGTAATATCACGGTAATATTGAGCATATGTCGACCTTGACTGCTCAAAGGAATTGCTTCAAAGCCATTATTTTGGAAAAGCGGCCTTCTTTCAAAATTCACAAAATCAGAATTATTAAGTCGTTCGATTACAGATAAGGAAACCTAAAATTAGATGCAGACCTTAGTTTTCATGCTCTTATCCAAAAGGCGCTACATGCTTCAGCACAAAAGTTGCAATATTTATAAGTGGTCGCTAATCCTCCATATGTGTTTGAGTTTTTTACCGTACCCCTACCGTACCTCTATAATAGGACGTCATCTTCCTAGGTTCTAAACTATGGCAGTGAGTTTAGTAAGAAAGGTTTTACCCGAAGGCGAAAAGCGTACCAGGACATTTTGAAGAAAAATGACGTATAACCTTTTAGGATGCGTGAATGCGCAAGTGGTCCTCGAGGTCGTCGCCTTCTTGCACTCGCTGGAGCACAAACAGCAGCACTTCGTCCTCCACTCGACTTTGTCCCATGGGTAGTTGTCAACGATGTGCGAAATGTTGATGCCTTCTACGATTTAACAGAAAATCTCTGTAAAAGCCTTGAACCAGCACCGGAAGAATGTTCAGCATATTTGCAAAGTGTGAACAGACTTTAGTACCTCAAATTTGTTACTTTGGCTTCATTGATATAGGAATATCAACTAATCCTGATTACTTCTTGTTGTACTTTTTTCTTTCATAATATTTTACGGGTAGGATGGCCATCTTGGCGCTTGTGATGCTCTAAGAACATG